CAAAATGATTGTTTCCAGCAGCAACTTGATGAGGCACAAGGCTCTGTTTTCTTACCACCACTAATATTAAACTATAGTGCACAAGAGGTGCAAGTTTTAAAAGGGAATTTAGTGGTCCAAGTTTTAAAAGGGAATTTAGTGTTCACTGGCTAATTGTCTAAAGTATAAAATAAAATAGTCATCACATCAAAATAAAAACTAACCATTTTTGTATTGCTTTAATCACTGTTGGGTGTAACAATATTGAAATATTTTCATTGCTGGTACTTTGTTTTAGATATTATACAAGTTGCTCGAATGTTGAAATAAAGCAATATCAATCAATAAAAATATTTCTTTGATTTTTTCTTCTAATGAATTTAAACTATCAGTCTACTATTAGTTGGCCTCATGTAATAGACAAAGATATAAACAAAAATATGTAATAATGAAATTTTATTTAGAATCGTACTAAGTGCAATATCTTATTTTCATTTCCCCAATTTTCCTGTTTAAGCTCTACCTGGTATATAAGCAATAATGTGCCAAAAAAGAAAGAAACGAGGCTGGCATACGGAAATTGCAAGTACTACTGTTTTGTGCACACGGCTGTGAATTCAATGTGTCATTCCTAGATGAAGGTAAATTTCCTTTACACGCCTTTACACGACAAAAATAATTTAAAATAAATATGAGACTTCTACAGGTGCAAATTTTAGCGTTGAAGGTGGGTTTGTGAAATTGTTCTCATACATTCTTGATGTGTAACTAATTTTTGTATAACTGATCGGCTCTAGAACAAATGAAGATGTATCTCGCATGATTTGAGTTTTATTTCCCGAAATGGTTGCGTCCAGGCTTGAAATCTCTCTCTACACCTTTCTGTAATCCCACCATGTTTTCTGAGTGAGATTATTAGAGACTTCGCGAGGCTTTATCCCAATTGGCTGAAGCAACCCACGTGAACGGTCTTTTGAATATGTATTAGGCACAAGCTCTCCCTAAGACCACAAGCTGGGTAATTATTAGGATTAAGCCCGTTACGAGGATAGGATGAAAGGAAACCCCTTGTTTCTACTCCTTCTCATTATAACTTCTTGTGTACATGTACAATAACATTCCTGTACAAAAGCCTCAAGTTTATCAAAGTTTTGAGCAATAGATTAAAAGAGGTTTCCCTGTAGCATTTCCTGTTAATTCTGGCGTGTTGTATGGTGTTACGGTTTTCCATACTGTGTTACGGTGCCCAGATGGAGGTAGATGACTTTTTGATGGAAGTACGAAATGGGAAAACAGTGTTAGCTGACAGCTGTTGTGTCAGAGTTAATGACATTGCTGCTAGACTACGGTGGTATGGGAGGTGGGAAAACTGAGGTTTTTTTCTTCATCTTTTCTTCCCTTTTTCTTTTCTGTCTTTTTTTTTTCTTAATAATGTCTTTTTGGTAAAGAGGAATTATTTATCCAGCTTTTATCATAATATTTACATAAGACTGAGGATGTTTTCAATATTTGCATTGTGCTGTTTACTATATGAAATTTAAATGTATTTACCAAGAGTTTTAATGTTTGCCAGTAGTGTAAGCAACTAAATTGTAAAACTCAATTTAATTTTTTTTCCCAAGTGTAATCGT